TTCCTTTTTTTTTTTGTTTTTTGAGACGGAGTCTCGCTCTGCCGTCCAGGCTGGAGTGCGGTGGCCGGATCTCAGCTCACTGCAAGCTCCGCCTCCCGGGTTTACGGCATTCTCCTGCCTCAGCCTCCGGAGTAGCTGGGACTACAGGCGCCGCCACCTCGCCCGGCTAGTTTTTGTTTTTTTTTTTTAAAGTAGAGACGGGGTTTCACCGTGTTCGCCAGGATGGTCTCGATCTCCTGACTTCGTGATCCGCCCGTCTCGGCCTCCCAAAGTGCTGGAATTACCACCGCGCCGGGCCGAGGTTTTGGTTTTCTAAAGTAACTAAAGACTTGACAAAAGACAACATGAAGCATAGTAAATTGTTTTGATAAAAAACATTCTTTGTTTCCTAGCTAGAATTCTTAAAAGGCTGAAAAACATCTTTCACAATTTCGCATTAGGGCAGTGCAATAATTCAAGATATCCTTGTCATTTTAACATAGGAGGCCAAATTCTAGTGTTACATCAGTATACTTTTGATATGAATAATCAGTTAAATAAATTATAAATAATTTCTTTCTAATCTTATCAAACTTTATCACACATGAAATCTTTCCCAAGATTCCTTTCCACAAACCTTCTACAACTTCTTTTATATCAATTTGGTTTTGTCCTATCTGCTTTCTCTTTTCCATTGTGGAACGACCAGCCATTCTACTTTAGGTTAAAAAAAATACTTTTTTCTTAAAGAAAAACACATCCTTTATATCTCATAGCTTCACCTACCAAAATCTTGTCTTACTATTCTTACATACGGAGTTGTTTCTCTTACTATTTCTAGCATTAATTACTATATGTTATATAGAACTCTTAACGACTGTTAGCTTGAATTTCTAGTGAAAACTAGGGGGTAAGCAACAGTCAATGGCCTGTTTGTTAGTGATGACGGTTGTATTGTTTTTAAGTATTTTGGATTCTTATCTACTGCACCTTGCAAATGAACAATGTTGCCAAGATTAAAACTTCCCCATGTGCATGCTGTCATCCTAAACTGTCCTTAGCAAGGTTAACTTGTTTGTCCAAAAATACAAAGGTTCATGGTCCCTAATTATCATACATAACATTAGCCAGTATTCCAGCAAGTGGAGTCCCAGGCTCCTTTCTTCGGAGAAATCAGCTTTCAGAAAGTACCTACCTGAGGGCTTTAACTGGTCTCAGTTCTGCTATTTATTGGATCCAATCTGATTCTGAATGGAGACTGGCTAAGGAAATGCACAAATAAAGTTGAAGAGGTCAAAATACAAGTTTCTGGAGCTCCTATTTGAAAGGAAACTCACCCCCACTTTCCAGCTACAGCAAGACAGCACCGTGGCTCATTTGGTGCCTTTACTGGGTAGTAGGTTTTCCTAGATGCTGCTGGAGTTTGCCTTAGGATTCCACATCTGACACTACATTGTTAAAGAAAAACTTTAAACAAAATGAATTCAATAGAGTTTATCTGGGCAAAGAAGAATTCATGAACTTGGCAACACTCAAAACTGAAAAACACTGAGAAAACTTTTCTCTAGTAGCATAAACAGCAAGGTTTCACAGGCTGAACAAGGTAGCAAAGTAAAGAAATAACCCGATTGGCTTAGCTAGATGTCTATCTTATTTGAGCATGATGTACTGATAGGTGTAACGACTTCAACATTTATCTGCAGGCACTTGTAAACTTCAGAGAGACCAGAATCTCCTGAGTGCATGTTAAAACCCAAGTTAAGCCACCCCACTTCCCAAGACATTGACCAAGTAGGTGTGGGTGGGGCCAGGAAAATCGCATTTCTAACCAGCACCCAGGAAATGGTGATGTTCCTGGTCCTAGGTGTTGGCCTTATTTGGGTATCTTGTGATCAGTGGTCCCTAGTTATATAACTAACTGGCTGGCTGTTTGTGATTGATTGATGCTAGATTTTAATTTGTAAGTCAGCCATGAGAAATGCCTCCAAGTTAAGTTTTCGTTTGCTTATGAAAGAGCTCCAGGTACAAAAGTAACCTCATGATAGTGACCTATTACTTGCTTTAATAGAGGACACTGTAACAATGTTTATTAAAAATTCTTAAGAAATTTTAATAAAAATATTGGGCAATAGTTTAATCTCTGAGCACATTGCCTATAAGAAAGCAATAACCATATATATACCATGATAAATATAAAAGAAGTATTCATTATACCACTTTTCATAAAACAAAAATTTAGAAAAATTTAAACAATTAATTACGAGAACTGAGTAAATATAAGCTCCAGCTCTGAGGAGTTGCTGTGCAGAGGGCCAGGCTGTCAGGGCCAGTGCAGCCTCTCACTTCTCCAGAGGCACCATCCTGTTGCCTGGGGTCTAGAAACTCTCTTTTTTCTTTACAGTCAGGCATAGTGTTCTGACCCCTTCCCCAATCCAGCGTGCAATGAAGAAATCATTCTCAACCTCACCCCAATGCCGTTTGAGGTGAGATACTTCTCACTTGTGGTTTGGTCTGCATGTACCCGCAATGATGGCTTCTGAACCTGCACCATTCCAAGTGTGGTCTGAGGACTAGGAACAGGTCTGTCCCAGGAGAGCTGGTGAGACGTGCAAATTCCCTGGCCCTGCTCAGACCTAGTGGTTCAGATTGCTGGGGGATAGGGAGAATAAGAACTTGGGTTTAGGGTATTTAGAACTTGCCTTCAGGGTATTCTAGTCCCTCTGAAGTTCACAGGTAACTACAGATACATGCTGAAGGCATCTTCATGGAGAAGAAACTTAAGTCTTGTCCAGAAAGAGTAACTTTATTTAATTTTTAGCTGGAGGATGTGATGGTTTCTTTCTAGACGCCAGACTGTGGACGATAGGAGTATATCCCGCTGGGATGCAAATGCAGAAATTCAACTCTGAATTGGGTGCCCTGAGGTTGGGAAGACTGGGACATAGACCTGCTCACTTCCATGACAGAATGTGCCCCTCAGATTTGACCTTTTCCACACCTGCAGGGTGCACCTGCTCTGCTGATGGAGCTCATTTGCACAGATCAACCCCTGAGCGAAGCTGCGTGGCTTGGGAGCTGGTGGCATGGTGTGTCTCAGGGGCACCAGGGTCCAGAGGAGCTCTTAGCATCTGAGACCAGTAACTATGGCTTGAGACCCAAGCAGCTCACTGCCTGTTTGTGTAAATAAACACTTATTGGAATACAACCACTCTTATATGTTTGCACTTTGGCTATTGCTCCTTTCAAGATATGACAGCAATTCTGAGTAGCTGAGAGACCATCTGCCCACAAAGGCCAGAATAGTTACTCTCCGGATTCTTCAGAACATTTTTTTGCCAAACCCTGGTTTAGGTGATTTGGGCAAGGTATTAGCAGCATCTAGTCTGCCCATGCATCTCACACCGCATCCCCTGGGGGTGTGCATTCCTGCAAATCCTGCATTTTCAGGGGATTTCTGCATCCCTGGGGATTTGTGAGAGTGCAGATGCATTTTCCAAAGGTCAGAGGCCCTGAAGTTGGACATTTCTAAGATTCTTCCAGAAGATGCTGCTGCCTCAGATGCCAGGACAACTTTATAAGGGTGAAGCTAGAAGTCCTTCCTCTATTCACCAACCTTCCATGGACCAGGAAAGCTGTGTGAGCCTCCCCTCGAGAACAGAGGCCACACATGCTGAGTGGGACCCAGAGGTCCTGTCTTGCTCAATCGTGCACACTGGGTGTCCTGCAAGATCACAGACTTTCTACCTCTGGCCACATGGGTCACCATCAGCCATGAGCATGGAGACAGCAGCTCAGACTTGTCTTGGTTGTGCCACTTGGATCTGGCTCACGAGGTCCTAAGGAAGGGAGGACCCCACGGACACAGATGCAAATAGGCTGCCTTTCTGAGAGGAACTCCATCAACTGCTCAGCCCCTCCCTCCAGAACATGGCACAGGAAGCTTCTGGAAATGCTGATGTTTAATGACCTATTCTACATGAGGAACCTGGACAATGAGGAGTTTCTAAAATGCCAAGTCATAAAACCGCAGACACTTGCAAAGTAAGAGAACAAATATGTATGGAGCTGCTCAGCCACTGATGTGCCACTCCTGGGAACAGCTGGTGTCCACGGGGGAGGGGGCAGCATGAGGCCAGGCATGTGAGTGGCTTCCACTCAGGAGAGCCCCTCTGAGCAGGTCTTGTTCAGGAGTTCAAAATACGTCTTCTAGGGCATGGTTTCAACAGTGAAGAAGCAGCTGAAGGTCTGAGGGAACAAACAGGAAGAGACAGTAGGGCGGGGTTTGGGGAAGTTCCGGAATCCTGTGGCATCTGCCCTTGCCACAGTTTCCATCTCCACCTTGCCCACCAGCAATCGAGCCACGTGGCTCTGGCCTTCAGGTCTTGCCTGAGCCTGAGGCCAATCCTGAACTACATCGTGATTTGAGGCTCCCTCCTTAGCCAGGGTCACTTGTGCCATGCCTCCTCCTCCAGCCCGTGCCCCTCAGGGAAACCCCAGGCTATCCTGGTGTGATCCCTGCACCTAAGAGCAGCAGAACACTTTGTCCTGTGGAAGCAGTTCCAAGACTTAGGCAATTAGTTACCTGTTTGTTAATCTTACAATAAGGGGGTTGACTAAGAACGGGAAGTTTTCCCAGAGCCAGGATTCGCTTGGAGCTCATCCCCTAGAGCAGGATCTGCAACTCAGCAGGGCCTAGGAGTGAGGGCAGTGGGGCTTCTTCTCAGCCTCCACCGCTTTGGGTCTAGGGCAGAGTAGAGAAACCCTGAGAAATGTACCCACAGACATTGTCACCATTGTCTCCAGGCTCTTTGTCAAGAAGGCAGGGAAGAATTGGGAGGAAGACCAGAGAGAAGGTTCTGAAGGCCATGTGGCCCAGGTGCAGGCAGCTGCAATGGTGTCAGAGGGCAGAGTGAGGAAACTCAGATTGGCTGGGGGCCTGAAAGTGAAGCCCTGGGCTCCCTGCCTCACTGGGCTTCCCACTAAGGCACAAGCAGGGCAGCCTGGTAGAGCCTGCTGTAGGC